TTTTCTTTCTGCCACATCAGTTCTTGGAGTCTTGGGGAAGCGAACTCCCGCCTGTCGTACTACGATGGCCTGATCCAGCTGTCCTACAGTCACGGCTCCCAGTACAACAACAAAGAACACACTCTCAGATCCACTCTCATCTCTTTCCTCTGTGACCCAGAAGCTGGAGCAGGTTATCCCGAATTCCAGGTAAACTGTGTCTCTGCACATGCTGATGTACTGTATTTGTTTTTATTTTGACAATACATGTTTCCACTTTTAGACTTTTTTATTTAAGGCCTATTTCTTATTACCAGTGTGTCATTTTAATCTTCATTTTTTGAATCCAGGTTGAGGACAAGTACACCTATAACTTCCGCTGGTATACATCCTACGCATGTCCTGAAAGGCCTCATGAGTGTTTGGTGACAGATCCCAACACTCTTGAGCAGTACGACTTATCCAGGTAATGCATGGATTCATATTGTGTTAATTCACCAAGCAACCAAGATGTTTTTGTGGCAGTCACAAAACAACATATACATAACTACGACGGCGTATTAGGGCCATTGTAGTTGTTTGTATTTGTTATTTCTTTCTTGTAAATCTACCACTTTAAATCTCTGAAATTCCGATTTTTTTTCTCGGAGTATTACCCCCAGTCACTTCCATAATTATGATCTTTTTAACCTACAATGGCCCTAATAAGCCGTCGTACATAACACACTTGTCCAAATACTCACAAAATGAAGATAAAAAGGAACAAAGAAGAAGAAACAGATTCATTTGTTTACCTTCTTCTGCCTCCAGCTTGTCACGCGCCACCTCCATCAGCAACTGGCAGGTCATGGATTTGTCTGACACCATGAACCTGAAGAAGTACCACATCAACATATGTCGGCCTATCAACGCTGTACCAGGCTGCGACCGCCATGCGTCCGTCTGCCAGATGAAGTACATACCCGAGCAGGTCTGTGATATCCAGAAACAGAATTGTAACTTAAAAACTAAGTACCATTTTTATTTTTTTTACATGAAAATATTACATATTTCACTTTTTTTTAAATGGCAACATTTGAAAACAAATGTGACAGCCGGTCAACAATACCAAAGACTAGAAACTAGATTTAGGAGCCGTTTCCTCCCCTCTGTCCTCAGGGCTCTCCGAAGGAGGTTGTATCCGTCAGTAACATGGGTATTTCCAAGCGAGGGCCGATCATCGAGGGGCGGGACCGGCTGCTGCTGGAGTTCACAGACGGCTCTGTCTGCATGTCAGACGGCCTGAAGCTCGCATACACGACACGCATCCACCTGGTCTGCTCCAAAGGAACTGTGGTGAGTCGGTGCTGATTATACAGTGGAGCGGAGCGCGGGTTGTTGACGCTTGGCATGGTGTCTGAGATGTGACTCTGTTTGTGTTCCACGCCGCGCAGTCAATGGGCCCGAGGTTCCTGATGTACCAGAACTGTACTGCCACCTTCATGTGGGACACCAGTGCAGCCTGCGCAATCAAAACCACCACGAACAATGTGAGTCCAGCTACATTACAACATTATCTCATCCTGTGTTTAACTTGTGTATGCACACCGATAAGACAACAATATGGAAAAGATGTGACGCTGGGAAATTGATATGATTACAATAATAAAACATTTGGGAAAACCTGTAAAACGCGTCTTTGTTTGTCAGAACTGTGCCATCGTGGATCCCAACACTGGCTTTGAGTTCAACCTTCAGCTTTTGGCTTCTAAAACTGGATACAAGACAACAGCGAATGGAAAAGACTTCCTGGTAATATTTTATAGTCATGACACTTTGCCAACCATAAATAATACATCCCTCATGCACTGTTTCAATGTGATTGTGTGATGTAGCTGGTGTGTGTGTGTGTGAGCTGCACTCACTGCTGCACTTTTTGTACCGCTCTGATATCGCCTGTGTTGTTGCCAGTCATGCTCGCAACAGAACGGGGTTTTAAGTTGACGTATTTTTACATTTTATTAATATAAACTGGATGTATAATAATGCTATACGCAACAAACACTGCAACCAACAAGTATTACAATCATAGAACAATAGTGAACCATCTCCAATCAATAAAAAATATGTAATTTTGACATTTCAGAAAGCTTTTTCAGTATTGCTTGAAAACGACTCAAACAATTTATTGATTATTAAAATAGCTGCTTATTTTCTGTAAGTAAACAAATTGTTTCTGTTCTTAAATTATACCTAAAACTAAAACACTTAACACTACAGTACAGCAGTAAATACCTGTAGACCCTTGTCCCGTCGGGTGAAACGCAACGAGTTTTTCAAAAGGTTCCTCGTCCCTGGGAAAAGTTCCTTCAGTTAAAAAGAGGCTTTGCATGCCAGTGATTTAAAAGCATCATGAGGCTTTTGTCTCCGCAATATAAGGACAGCCGTCGCTCTCACAATTCATCAGAAGTATAACCCTTCCTCCTCAACGCCCTGTAGGTGAACATCTGCTCAGACGCTGCAGAATGCGGACCGGGCATAGCCGGCTGTGAGCTGGATGAGGGGCATCCGTCCAGCCCGGTGGGGGTGGAGAAGACCCTCCAGTACTCCACCGATGGCCGTCTCACACTGACATATAAGGGAACCCTGGACGAGCCCACGGGTATTTATTTACAGTAACTGAGACTGTCATGTTTCAGCATTCAATGTTTCACTTCAGCTGTGGTGCAATACTTTTTACTGTATTTACAGCTGTGTGACTTTAAACATTTCGGACATTTTCTTAATGCTACACTTTATTCCTCTATTTAAATTTCCCTTCTGCACCAGCAACTCGGGACACCTTCACCATTAATTTCGTGTGCGATCCAACCTCTCACAACAGCTCATTAAAACTGCTGCGAGAGGACCTGAGTTCTTTACCGAAACATGTGGTCCACAACGTCTTCTTTGAGTTCTCCACCGCTCTGGCCTGCATCCCTGCTCCAGTTGACTGCCAGATCATCGGTACGGACCCACGAACAGAATGAAAGCATTTGTAATCGAAAACTAAAAGCCTTTTTCTTATGCGTGTGTGTAAATATACGTTTCTGTTCCCTCTAGATTCTCATGGTAATGAGTATGATCTAAGCCACCTGATCCGGGATGGAGAGGACAGCCCCTGGATCGCCATAGATACAGATGCTGTGAAATCACGCAGCTTTTACATCAACGTCTGCAAACCTCTGCCTCCAGTGAGCGACTGTCCCGGTCAGTATGCTCCTTCATGTTCCTCCACCTGAACCGCTTACACATACACACAGTAAATAAGAGATTTTAACTGACTTGGGCTGTTGATTGGATCTGCAACACCTAATCGAATACAATAGTTTTTTTTAAATGGTTGTCAACAAATTTGATTATGGATTAATTGGGTCTTTGGCGCGCTGTGGCATCTCGCGTGGTGAATTACAGGAAATTACAAAGTCTCCTTCAGCTCTCCTTCATCTCTGTAATAAACATTTGAGGAGTGTCGGAGACAGAGACCAACGATACAGCAGAGAAAAGTGCAGAAGCAAACGCTCAATTACAGGGTTCCTGATGGAGCTGTTTTAAAACTAACGCTCGATAAAGACGTTAATTAACCTGTGATCAGGGATTTTGGTCGTCATCACGGACACAAATCTGATGGAGATCGCTGTTTCACAGTTAAAGTGTGAAGGAACATTCCAAATGTGTCTCGGTACATGTGAATGACATCAGCTGACAGGGTTAAACATGGACACAAGTTGTTGCCAAGGAACACAATTCTGTTGAAGCGGTCTATAACGTAATATTAAGGAGTTTTTGGAATATTTCATGCCCTCAGTCAGAGACACTCTAAAGTGGATCCTTTAATATAGTAATAATGATAATAATACTCTATGCTTTACAAAAAAGCAACACATTTAAACAAGGACAAATAGACAAGACAGTAGATGCTAAAATATGTAAGTGAAATAAACAACCTTACCTGTAGTGCTATTTATCAATCTAGATTCTGCAATGTGTCTTTGCAGAAATCATGACCCGGTATTTAAGATAATCCACGGACCTTGTTGCCAGCAGTTTCATGTAGGAACTAAGAAAATAGTTCCTACATGAACCGGCTCACTACAAGGATTGCGTCCACTTCTTGTATACAGTCTGAGTTAAATACATTATTGTTCTTCTCTCCAGTGGGTCCTTTGGGTGCCTGTGGCATGATTGATGGGAACAGTTACAACCTGGGATTCGTCCAGTCCAGCCCTCAGGCGGCAGAGGACGGCTCCATCAGCATCGTGTACCAGAACGGAGACCTGTGCGGTTCTGCATCCCGCTACTCGACGCGCATCATCCTCCAGTGTGATGACAACCCAGTGAGTTATCGATAAAAGCATAAAGAGCGAGTGAAACGTGGATATGGATTTTGAGAGTGACTGAATAAGTAACACCGAAGTAATGACGGTAACATTTTAAACTGCATATTCCCGCTAATTTTGGTGGGAAAAGGGTATCTGTTACATTTTCTCTTAAGTGAACTATTTGGTTATTCCACGAGACCAAGACACAAGACATAAAGCTAATTTTGTGTGTCTGTCTTTTTCTAGGGCTCCCCCATGTTTGACCGTAAAGATGGTTGTGAATATGTCTTCATCTGGAGGACATCTGAGGCCTGCCCCATCAGGAAGTCTCAAGGTAAGAACGTGTGTGTGAGACAAAGTGATGTGAATTGTAGATATCAATGTTTTAAGATTAAAACTGCTGTTATCTTAAATGTTTGGAATCTGATCCAAATCAAACAGCTGTGACGATATTATCAGATATATATCATAATGAAGTTTTGATAAAAGGACAGTGTTGACCACTAATATTATTTAAACCGTGATGAAGGAGAAACGAGAGTATGTGCCTCTATGCTCACCGTCCAAACGTGTCCTCCCAGGTGATGACTGCCAGGTTCGTGACCCCAAGAGTGGCTACGAGTTCAACCTGAGCTCTCTGAAGGGTCAAGATTACCCCGTCAACAGTGATAAGTACGTCTACCACCTGTCGGTCTGCGGTGGGCTCAAGAGAGACATCTGCACCCACAAAGACACAGGCCTTGAAACTGTCTCCTCCTGTCAAGTGGAAGGGGACAACTACAAGATTGCAGGTATGGCAAAAAAAAACAACTAAAACAGCTCGAGTATTCTTGATATTTAATGTAGTGTTGTATGTATGAATGCGTGTCATTATTATTGTTTGTGTGCAGGAATGGCATCCCAGGTTCTGAGCTATGTGGGAGACCAGCTCATCCTGAACTACACTAATGGAGAGGCCTGTCATAAGATATACAACAGATCCACTGAAGTCTACTTCTCCTGCCACCCTGACAGGCATCCTGTGAGTGTCACACATAAACACCACAAAGACAGAAAACCAGCTGATTCCACAGATCTTATCGGCTTTTAATGAGCTGTTATTAAACATAAGTTAATAATAATAATGAATCCCTGCAGATCCTTTCTGTGTAAAGAGTCAAAGCCTTTACACACCGGGTGCGTTATGAATAAACTGCAGGAAAATGCGGATATTATATGTCTAGGGCTTTTATTGTGAAAGGTAAGAATGGAAGGAGTGGATCTGGTCTGCGCTGCCTTTGTCAAGATTGACAGTAGAACGTGATTGGTTGATGCCACCTGAAGTTATTTCTTTCTTTCTCCATTATTTTTGTTATATTTGTTTGTTTTTTTACAAATGTCAGCAGTGGCAGTTCATTTAACGTTTCTCTACGTAAAGCACACGAATGCATTTCGGCTCTGTAACTCTGTAGTAGCTCATTGCGTGTTGTGTCGATTCACTCGTTCAGGGAAAACCAGAGTTCATCAAAGAGACTCCAGACTGCACCTACCTGTTCAGCTGGCCCACCGCTCTGGCCTGCGTCCCAGTCAAGACCACCAGCTGCTCCTACAAGTAACAATCCTCCACCGCCTCCCACATGGCATCCTCCTCAATCTCTTTTCTTTCTTCCTCTTCCTCTGTTGGTTATGAACACTTCTCATACCGGTGTTTCTAATTTCATTGAACTTGTGTCCTTTTTAAATGGACTTCAGCTGTCTATGCTTGTTAGTTAATTGGTGAGGTAGCATTATGCCGGATAGCTCTACCCTAGATTAATCAAGTAACGGTACAAGTAATACGACAAAGGTAGGCCTAGAGGTTACACCACTTGATTTGTTATCATGTGTGTGTGTGTAAAATACAAGTTAATTATCAGATAATAAATCTGTCTTTGGTATCAGAGCGGACCTCATAATTCAACTTAATTTGCTATACAGGCAATTTATTGATTCATTAAAAGTGACTTGACTTACAAAGGTGGTTTACAGTGCTCTCCTTAAATAAATGATTCCTAGATTTGATTTGTTTAGAAGTTAGGGTATGTTTTTAGGTGTCTTTATCTGCTGTAAGCATCAGTGTTACAGTATGATCCACTGCTGGAAAATGCTTGTATCTGAACAGACATCAATGACAACGTAATGACCAACATTAAAACAGTTCAGAAGTCTGTACAGACCTTAAACACAAAAGACAGCGAATGTTCACCCTCTCCATGTGTGCTCTGTCCTCAGTGATAACCAGGGACACTCGTACGACCTCTCCCCTCTGGCTATGGACTCTCGAAACTGGGAAGTGGAGCACTCTACAGGGGACACGAAGAACCAATTCTACATCAATGTCTGCAGGTCGCTGGTGCAGCAGGGAGGTCAGCGTGCATGCTTGTGTTCTTTATTCAGTAGTACTGTAGTGTCCAGCTCTGCTTTGTTGGGTCAGAATTCAAGTTCCAGGAGAGCGTTTTGAGACGGAATGTCTTCTGATGTGGTCAGAGCTGACCCTGTGCTCACCTCGCGACAGGTACATGGAAGTGTCCCTCCAGTGCAGCATCCTGTTTGAAGGTCGGAGAGGACTATGTGAATTTGGGGCAGGTGGAGTCTGGTCCTACGTGGGACAGAAATGTCCTGAAGCTGCAATACACCAGCGGCCAGGTGTGTCCCGATGGAAGCCGCAACAAGAGCAGCATCATCCGCTTCAAGTGTGACAAAGACAAAGTGGTGAGGAGACGTTTTCAGTAAGCTACAAACAATAGGTACCATTTCCTGTCTGTGGGGTTTGTGTGTAACTGTACACACAAGAGATTGAGTTATATCGGGAGAATGAAAAAACTGGCACCTCGGTTGTAATGGATGCTCTCTACAATGAAAATATTTGCTTTGGGCTCGATAGGCGCAAAAACGTCCATGTCAATCATTCATTGATCTAATTTGCCTAATCTTCACAGTTCTTCAAACACTGTGGTACACAAACAGAAATGTGCAAAAAGGGACTCTTAGTTCCTGGTTTAGTTCCCGAGTTTAGTTTCATGATCAACCTTTAACATATGCACTGTTTTTGACCTTTTCTTACGGTAAGAACACCAGGGGGATATGGTAATGATTTGAGTAAAGATATAAATGACAAAACGAGTATGTTCCTGTCTCCCATCCAGGACTCCCGGCCTACTCTGATCTCTGCCATTGAGGACTGTGTGTACACCTTCCTCTGGTTAACAGCTGCAGCCTGCCCTCTGAACAGCACCCAACACGACAACTGCAGGGTCACCAATCCCGCTACAGGTCAGACATTCAAAGAAAAGACCGTAACTCTGTATATGTATTATATACATACCTGTTACAAGTATGTACTTATCATATTACTGTCTCTTGACAATACAAATGTAAAAATGAGAGACTTGCATAACGAGCCACCTTTCTGGAGAACCTTTTCCCCCAGTATTTGTGTTTTAATAGACTTTAAATGACTGTACCTGATCAGAGTAAATAAACTGTGACCCTCCACTCCCTTAGGTCATTTGTTTGATCTCAACACCCTGACAAAGGAAGGAGGTTACAATGTGTACGATCATCAGGAACACAGGAAGACGTTCCACATGAACATCTGTAGGAACGTGTCTAACGCTGGATGCAGCTCTGAATCCGGTACGTACGTCCACCTCACTTTGGGAGGCAATCAGATCAGCCAGTCAGAGGATGCAGATGTTTATTAGACTTGGTGCTGGATTCTAAATGTGGATAATATATATAAGGAAACACTAGGACAGCACACCAATTTGACTTTTTAATATTGACAAAATGACGTTTCATGCAAGAAGCCCTTATGTATTCTAACAATTTCACAATCACTTCACCCAGGTGGTGTTAATTATGAGTGACCTCGACTGCCACAACAAATACGTCCCAACAGGGGGAGCCACAACCTTTCCAGATGTTTAAAAATGTCAATAAATAAGGACTGGGCAATATATTAATATTATATCCTTACTGTGAATGAGACTAGATATCGTAATATGGCATAGGTGCTGTCTTTTCCTGGTTTTAAAGGCTGTGTTACAGTAAAGTGATGTTATTTTCTGAACTCACCAGACGGTTCTAGCTGTTCTATTATTTGCCTTCACCAACTTACTCAATGCACCCATATTACTGGTAATTATTTTTGAAAATGTTGTTTGTAAAAGCACCAATACTCAACCCTACAATATCGTCACCATGTAGATGTATATCGAGCAATTTGGTTACTATATACTGTATATTGTGATATTTGATTTTCTCCATATCCCCCAGCCCTAAAATATATATTGTTTTTTTAACCCCAGTAGACCGTTTTCCCATTTTCTTTGAACATGAAGAAGATATTTGCCATGGGGCATCTGTTTAATCCTTATTCTACCTATAGAGAACTGATAAAACAGCTTAAAGTAGAGGACATAAAAAATGATGCCAAACAAAATACAAACTCTAACAACCTATGTCTTCAGCCTTAACAGCTCCTGCAGACTGCTCAGTCATGGTTTGAGAAGTTACACTGAAACACCAGCACTATGTGAAACATGTGAGACAGTTTATGGCGGTTATGTGGTTTATTTTCTCCAGAAACTGTGCAGATTCCAATAAATGGTGATTTTTTTCTTGGAACAAATACAATTTTCTAAAAGTACTGGGAAATACAGGGAGATGGATTCACGAATAACTCATTCACTCCTCCCCGGGTTACTGTTCAGTCTTACTCGGACGTCTGTGTGGTTTATGTTAAACTGAGGACATGCGTCACCACTGTTTTGGGTCACAGTTGAGCATTACCTGAGGCCCGAAATTCCAGTGATTCTCAAATTATTGACTGCTCTTTTACCCGGGCTGTATTATTTACTGCACATTAAACTGGAAGGCTGAACTGAACTGAAGGGAGCACACACCTCGACCAAAGCTGCACAATAGGTCTGAATCTGTAATTAGAATTACAAGTTATAGAAATTTTCAATCTGCATCAAAATACACAATTCCAGACAATTATGTGATGCATGTGCCGAATATTTTTCATTAATGTTAGTGCTATAGTTGATGAAAAAATGGTCAAAGAAATTTACAAATGCAGTTGTATTTTTGCAGTTATTGTAAAAATATCTCTGTACGCATATTGTGTTCCAGCTGTGTGTATTATGGATGCCACGACCCCAGTGAGCGGCGGTCAGGTGAGCAGGGAACTCTCATACAAGGATCAGGTTCTGGAGCTGACGTATGGAGGAGGAGGTCCCTGCCCAGCAAACCCCGACCTCAAACACAACACCATCATCCACTTCATCTGCAGGTACGTCCCTCTCCATCCTGTGTCCTTACTGGATTTTCTCCCTAGTTTTCTTTTTCATTGATGATGATTGATTGATTATCTTCATCAATCATCAGATACAGAAACAAAAATCTGAAGGGTAACATGTTAAAGTGAAAACACGCAGCACAAGACATTCCACATAAAAACTCAACAAAAGCAATCCTGAAATCCAAAAACGCATCATCACAATTTAATAAAATAACGCCCTCTTCAAAAAAACAAGGAAAGCTAAAATAACAGTTAGATTGAAAATGTCACAACTCCGACAACTGCCTGTGCGTATGAAAAGCACTGCAGTGTAGCGAGTGGTGGCTCTTTAAAGATTTCGTTAAACATTCTTTTTTTTGTTTTAAGAGTTTAAATAGTGTTCAACAGCATTTATTTTGCCGTTTGTCTGGTTCCAAATATGGCATTTTAAAGACAATTAAGGTGTGCTTTATGTTTGTTATTACCTGTTAATTACCTGTTTGAATGTAATACACTGATGTAATAAAGTTCATATCATGAAGTTATGTTTAAATGTTAGTTAAAATATAATGTTCTTTTTTTTGCAAAACACCAGTAATGTATCTGTCATGTTACCACTGAAATATCGAGCTATGTTGAATGTTTGCATTGTGTCTGTACAGGCCACCTAACATGGGCTCAGCCCCACCAGAGCCAGTTCTCATCGACTCCAACGCTGACACCTGCACACACTTCTTCTCTTTCCACACACCCCTGGTCTGCGAACAGCCAGTAAGTATGTTTTGTTTATTTGTCAGCGGGATAAGTCCGATGGGCACTGTGACTCTCTCAGTATGCTCGGCCTGTTTCATGAAGTAACTCAAATTCAAATGTTGGGAAACTTTTGGCGATTCAGGTTTTCCCATCCAACGCAGTGAAGAAATAACTGACAAGCATTGTGCTTGTATTGGTAATCCAAATCAAATGTATGTGAAGTTATGAATCACACACAACCTGATCCCAGCATGTGTTTGTATGTATGTGTGTGTGTGCTGTGATTAAAACCTTTAACTTTAAAAATCACCAGATAGCAGGCTGTGTTTATGACATAAGAACAAATAGGATTTCCAGGCAAAAGAAAGACGCTACAGTAATGTTACATAACTTGCTAACACACAATATATGTAATATTTTGTTTTGAGTGTATGGAGAAATGAACTCGTATGGAAGAAAACATGAAGGTTTTTTATAACATGAAGGTTTTTTGTAACATGGGGTAGTGGTGCACTTCAGCCTCTCGTGGTCAAAATGAGTGTTCCAAGAAAAAAGACACTTACAAATGAAACTGTTCCTGATAAATTATTAATAATCAAAAGAAATTCACCACACTTTTTTTTCCACTTGCTCTCGGAGATGAAACAAGAAGCAGTAACTTGGAAAGATTTATTTTTTTTCACCTGTTCTTAAGTCATAAACAAAACCTGAATTTTTTGCCTCTTGGGGCTTCCGTAATTTTCCCCAACAGCCAGTAATTATAAAAATAACTTGGAGCATTCTTTCGTAAATTTGCACTGCATTGGCCATTTCAAACAGCAAATTGAATTTCAGTTGAGTGTAGTCTGCAGATGGACTACAATCCGCTTCTCAAGGATTATCAAAGGAGACAGGAATTCAGCATTGAATTATGTGACGCTGTAGTAATTGTGGGATCGTACCAGACTCACAATACTTCTCAAAACATAGAGGATCAAAAGAAGAAAAGATTGAAAGAGAACTTTCAACAGCCACTGTATAGAATATAATGACTGAATTCCTTTGCTTTGAGTTTTGGCTTTCTGAGGCCCAAAAAAACGATTACTTTGACACTAAAAGGATGTACCACTGACATGCATTTGCTTCCTTTTTATTACATTTTCAGGTGAAGTGTTCGGTCCAAAACGGCTCTGCTCTCATAGACCTGACTCCTCTCATCCACATCAGTGGATACTACACAGCAACAGGTCAGTGGGCCACGGTGTCATCAACGACATATGCTGAGTTTTTCTGCATGCAGTAATGGAGATCAAATGTAGTACATTATGCATCATGTCAGTGAGGATCCTTCATCCATCTGCATCATTTAGGGGGAAAAACATGAATCCAGAAATATACCGTTTCCACATTTCTGTTTGAATCCTCTCAATTGTGTCCTTTCAGACGACGCAGTGGACCAAAGTGACGGATCTCCAGACTTCTACATCAACATCTGCCAGCCTCTGAACCCCATCCCCGGGGTCACCTGCCCCTCTGGAGCCGCCGTCTGTGCAGACCCTGACAATGGACCGCCTGTGGTAAGACGCTGGCAAACACAAACACAGACGCGTACATTCTCCTTCACGCTTGTTTTCATACAAGGTAGATAAAGGACCACTTACCTTGACCTCACTTTTATGTGGTTTGATGCCTTTGACGACAAGTAAAAATGTCCGATGGCTCCTCTTGATGAAAACAGACACAGCCATTATAAAGACTGATTTTCAGTTCCAGCTATTTATTACCAATGTATATTACATGCTGCGTTTTGTACTCTAAAGGAATTTTGTGAAAGGAAATATACGTTTGTTGGTTCGAAATGCACCATGGTCTCTTTTTGTGCCACATGACTTATAAATACATCAACTTATTATAAAGGAAATGTCAAGGAACTACACTGCTTCTCTTTGGAGCGTTGGATCAACCTCATCACTCCACAGATGCCGCCACTTGCCACGTACTATGCCTGAGGTGCATGACCTAAACAAATTAAACTTCGCAACCGGATTTAGAAACACGGAAATACTTGTGAAGACATTGCCATGAAGTAGGCTTGTTTAGAAGAAAACATCGTACTTGTTTTTTAATTTTTCTTTTCTTTTTTTTCTTTTAAATTTACGACTCTAATCACAGAATATTTATTTCTCTGAGTAATGCTCCTCTCCCCTGGCTTCAGAGTTTTTCTTTTTCTTGGAGTGGATCTAATGTGCAATCATATGTTTATGATTTGCTAGCATGTGAAATTTGTATACATTTTGGTCTTTAATTGATTACGCAAACAATTCATCATAAAAGAAACAATAAAAGCAAACGGACAACAAAAAATGGCTCCCAATGAAAAAGCAGAAAACGTAGACCGTACATGAAAGCATAAAGATTTGTGTAGTAGGTTGAAGCGAATCTGCTCATTATGTACACATTTTATGTTATTAAATTTTACATTTTGATAACAAAGTAAAGCAGTCAAACATAAAGGAAATGGCTACACAAGTGTAGCAATATTACATAAGTAAAAAAAAATACAATAACAACAATGATAATAGAAGTTTAGAATCTATCTCAGTCTTGCATCTGTCACAGGTTGGGGAAACATCATTACTAAAGTGCTGTTTTGAAGTAAAATAATGCGGTTTAAAAGGCCGTGCTATTTTGATTCTCTCTCTTCTTTTTTTAATTTTTGTATGATGATGATCCCTTTTGTCCTGTCTTTGTTTCTCTTCCCGTCACTTTCAATAACACCTTTTTTCTGTCTCTTAAAGGACATTGGGCGGACTACCAGCGGTCCTGAGATCAACAGTGCAACAGGGGAAGTGTCCATCACCTACAGCAGCTCCACCAAGTGCACGGCTGATCCTGCACAGAACTACACTTCGACCATCATCTTTACCTGCCAGAGAGGCCTGGAGCTGGTCAGTCAGCACTTGGATGTAGTTTCATGATAGGAATTCTTCCACATGCACTGTTTACTTTACTGTTTACTTCTCTGAGGATTTTTGAACAAAACAGTGAACCTTTTATTGTCTTCATCCAGGGCTCTCCGCAAATGCTGAGGCTGCAGGAATGTGTCTATTTGTTTGAGTGGGCGACTCCTATAGTCTGTTCGGATGCCACCCACACCAACACCAGCGGTTGCCAGCTCACCGACTCCCAGCTCCAGTTCACCTTTGAACTGTCCAGCCTCTCTGGTGAAGTCAAGGTGAGCTCCATAGGCTTGCTGAATGTACCCCAAAATCACATTTGACATAAGGTGCACATCAATAATCCCTTCATCTTGTAAAATCTACATTTGTTTTATATTTCAGAATAGTTGTAATATTTGTATATTCGTCGAGTGTAGAACTGCCAGCCGCCATCTGACTTAAATTGCTCCTAAAGTAGTGTTGTTATGGTAAAGATGGCTTCGGATTGTCCCTTTTTAAAATACTGTAGTGACGTTAAGTCTCTGTTCGTCAGGTACCAACGAACTCCAGCATCTACCACATCAACGTCTGCGGCTCAGTGGCCGAGCCGGCCTGCAAGAAGAGCGCGGTTTGCCGGCTGTCTGGTTCAGAGAAGTCAGCCTCATCCTTTGGCATCAGCAAGGCCATGACGATGGACTACAAACATGACGAGGAGGCCGTACTGATGCAGTACGGTGGGGGAGATCCCTGCCCACCAGGTAGGTCTGCTATACTCACTTTGTGTATGACCACCGCTCAAAAGTCTTAGGATCTATCTTATCAAAATGGAAATCTGATTCCAAAATGGAGCATAATAACTAGATATGATCATAGTTGTAGAGCAGGCAAAGTTGAAAAACGTCCACATTTTAATAACATAAATGACTGTTTCAAAGTACCTGTGTGGATTTATGACACTTCCAAAATGCTTTCTTGTGTTGCATTTCCATTACTTCTCTGCCTTTTCTCTCTCTCTCTCTCCTCTCTCTTTCAGCCTCTGGTAAGCGTCAGTCCTCCATATTGTTTACCTGCGACCAGTCTGCAGGCCGCGGCTCTCCACAGCTGCTCTCAGAGACGGCGGGTTGTTCAGCCACTTTTCAGTGGCGCACCAGCGCCGTTTGTCCCCCGATGAAGATGGAGTGTAAGCTGGTCAGCCAGCATCGGACCTTCGACCTCCGAACCCTGTCCTCCCTCACTGAGCCCTGGAAGTTTAGCCACCGAGGGGATTCGTAAGTCTGGCTTTACTCAACTCCTCCTCATCATGCAATGTGAAGATCACAAAAATCCAAAATGGCAGTAAAAAAAAAAAGAAGAAAAATCTGAAGTGAGCTTGAAATTTTAATTAAAAAAGCTGTTCATGAACATGAAGTGCCATGTTGCTCATGCTCTTCATGAGTGTTTTATATGTTATTATATTGGGCATGACTGCTCCACCTTCAGTTGGCTAATATTTTGGCATCAATAACGTTCCGTGCTTCACAATAGATGCAAGAAAGAGAAGAAATATTGCTAAAGCCTGCATATGGGTGAAAATAAATTGGTGAACACATCTGCAAAGCCACTTAAATCACTTCAGCCTTCGTTTCTCGAGTCCTGACTTCATTTAAATGTGACTCTCTTTGCTGTTTTTATGTCCTCAGGTACTTCATTAACCTGTGTCAGGGTATCCACGGTGGATTGCCAGGCTGTCCAGAGGGAGCAACCGTGTGCCGGCACACAGCAGCAGGACTGACCCAGACCCTCGGCCGAGTTTATACTCAGAAAATGAGCTCTGTTGGTGGGTAATCAAGTCATGTACATTGCAGTCTGCTTTATGAAGGACTTTTTTAAGGGGGAATAATATCTGCTTGAAGTTTCAAATATCCTAGGATTAACATTTGTGTGCGTAATTTTGTTTTGTTGCTAGTAGAATTAAACAACAGCTATTGGCAATGCTTTTAATATTGTATTACTGTTGTTCTACAACTCAAAACCGACTGTGAATGAAACAGAAATCAGTGCCGGCTTTGAGGTAAACAGAGTGACTCACAGCTGTGATTTGATTCTGTGCATTAGAAAAGTTCATGATCACAGTTCTCAAACTACTTCTGCAGATGGAAAGATTACTGTCAGCTACTCAGCGGGAGAAGATGTCTGTGGCCACGGCGTGCAGGCCAAGACTGTAATCCAGCTGAGCTGCGGCTCCACTGTTGGACACCCGGCACTCATCAGGTACATTTACAATTAAAATTTTTAGCCCACAAGTCAAATCTTGGTCATTCGCTCACCTATCATTGTGAGCTCTTAACTGCTGATGCTGCAGTAAACCATATTCTACAACTCATTTTTAACTGGCAGAACAAAATGTTTGTCTTTAACGGAACGGAGGGTTTGTCTTTAACGGAACATTTTCTGTCATTAAAGCATAATTTAGGCACACTACCAAACCTTTATTGGCAGACTTGTAATTCACAGTCATGAGAGTTTTGTTGTCTGCAATCAATATAAAGGCTTAAAGTTTCTTTTGATCAGTACCCCCATGTTTAGATTAATACAAAAGCAGTTTTTATTCAATATATATTTTTTAAATATGATGTTTGTACTAGACACAATGTGACTTGCTTTGACTCCTTCCTTAATGTTACATTTCACAGCATTTATTAGTTTTGTTCAATTAGTCCTTCAAGTCCTAAATGTTGCTCGGAGTAAATCATCTCGATCTGTTTCCGTGCGAACAGCGTCGATGAGGCGTCGTGTGAGTTTGTGATTAGCTGGGAGACCCGGTCGGCGTGTGCTGTGAAGCAGCACGAGGTGGAGATGGTGAATGGGACGATCCAGGTTCCCGACACTGGAGCCCGCCTCAGTCTGGGAAGGCTTTACTTCAGGTAACACAAGCAACACACTCCACCTGTCCGCCTGCATCTTCATCTTGCTCCAAAATATCTCACTTTGTTGCATTTTTATTTTCCACCTGTGGCGGTCTGTTTAGCCTTGTTTTTTACCTTCCTCCTCTCAGCCACCATCAGGCGTCTGGAGACATCCGTCCCAACGGCGACCGCTACGTCTACCACATCCAGTTGTCTGGCATCACCAACAACTCCCTGCCCACCTGTCTCGGTGCCAACATCTGCCAGGTCAAGCTCAACGGGGCCTACAGACGCAGGATTGGCTCTTCCAGCAAGGCCAAGTACTACGTTAAAGGTAAAGTATTGCTAAGTTTAATGAAATCAGCGATTGGTGGTGTGGTACTGAGGACCCAAGGAACTGCAATGTCAAGTGTGAGCTCTTGAAATCTACGGGATATGTTTATTAGTAGTGCTTACGTACACACTGTAGTGTATTGAGAGGGGGGATTGTTAGACCCTGCAGTAGTGAAATGAAGGTTTTCTAAAGGGACTCTGGTGCTCTGCAACACTACTACTTTCATCCACAGGGACCGCCAAAATCAACAAAATGTTGTAACTTTAAACTGTTGTCCTAATGGTGAAATTTGAATTAACTTACAGTTGTCATATCATTAAAACTTGTTGATTCTAGCTAATGCATCACCTCATCCATGTTAAAAAACATCTCCGCTTTCCCATCAGGAGGAAACCTGGATGTGATCGTGCCCTCTGAGTCGGCATGTGGGCGGGAGAAGACCAAAACGGTGTCGTCCACCATCATGTTCCACTGTAACCCCTCGGTGGGCGTCGGCATCCCCGAGTTTATGCTGGAGACGGATGGATGCCAGTATCTGTTTATGTGGCACACGGACGCCGTGTGTGGTCTCACGTGAGCATACGTTTGTTTTTTTTACACTGGAATATAGTTTATTTTTACTACAGGAGAAGTAGATTTAAGAAATGGCAAATACGTATATAAGTCTTCCTTCTTGATTTCTTTGCAGAACTGTTGACACACAGTCCAGTGATGACGACAGCGAGGCTCCTGTTCTCTCCAGGCGGAGCCAGGCGGTGGGGGTGACGCTGAGTCTTCTGCTGCTGGTTCTGTCCGTCTGTCTGCTCGGGCTTTTGCTCCACAAGAAAGAGAGGCGGTGAGACCACCAGCATCCAACGACAGCAGCGAAGCCGAAAGATTGAGTTTTTTGAGTTTTCATGAATGCTTGTTTGCCTTGTCGTCATCATCAACAGAGAGCTGGTGATCCAGAAGGTCGCTGGCTGCTGCAGGAGAGGAAACCAAGTCTCCTATAAATATTCCAAGGTAGGTTGATCTAATGAATGAATCCATTTTGATTCCAGGTCCAGTGTGAAACGCACTTTTCTAGCCGACTACTTAGTTAATTGGAATATTTTTGTTTTTAAAAGATGCTGCATCTAAAAGTGCTCCCTTTGCTTCTATCAATTCCTCCAATGAAAATACATTAGAATGTTTCCCTCCAGTGTATGCAAGGTTACCGGGCAGCTGTTCAGTTCATGTTGTCAGCAATGTGCAGGAGAGTGCCTGTGTGCATCGGTTTACGCGGTCTCTTAATCTTAACAGCAAAACATTTTAATTACGTAATGCACACGGCTCATCAACCTGCCACGAGCCTCTCAAAATTTGAAACAACACGACAATACCGGTTCCCTCTGGTCCGCGCTTTTCTAAAGGTTGAGCCAAACATTCTGTGCAGCGTGCGTGAATATTCCTGATCTATTTTGACATCAACACTGATGAAAATAAAGATAATAGGATAAAAATAATGAAATAATTACCAAATTATAAAACCCTACGGAGTGAAGTATTATTGTTTAATTTGGCATCAACCTCGCATTTATTTGTGTATTGTCCAGACAATAGACGAAGCATAAATAAATGCTTTAGGTCGCAGTTATACCCATGAGCCGTGCGCCTGCAGACAGCTGCACAGGTAAAAGTGTGCGTACCTGGTGTGTGAGATGTAGGAAAGAAACAAAACCACGTCTGGCAGGTTGGTAATAAATTTAGCATGAAGGCGACTTATTTTATCCCAGATGACTCGGTGTGTGTGTGTGTGTGTGTGTGTGTGTGTTCCAACTCCAAAATCCTTAGGTCAACATGGATGAAGAAGGGGGTGAAGAGGAGATGGAGTGGCTGATGGAGGAGCTGGAAGCACCTCCCACGTCCTCCTCCTCCTCCCACCGAGGGAGGAGTAACCTCGGCAACGGTCACATCAAGACCAAGTCGGTGAACACGGACGGCCTGCGCTCGTTCTCGCTCGACGAGCAGGACGACGACGACGACGACGACGACGACAGCGAGGACGAGGTGCTGAGCGTCCCGGGGGTGCGAGTGGTCAAATCCTCCGGAATCTCCAGGCACTCTGCGGCCCATCGTAGCCCCTTCCTTCAAGTGAGTATCTCTCCAGGTGTGTTTCTTTTTTCCTAACGTGGCGCTCAAAACCTCACAGAAAGTCCTTGGTTACAGGAGGAGAGTGACGAGGACCTGGTGGGCCTCCTGGACGAGTCGGACAAGAAGAGGAAGAGCAGCAAACCTCGCTCCTCAGGCCTTAATCCCGGTAACAACACGGCAGCCAATAGGAAACGGGACGAGGACGACAGTGACGAGGACCTCCTCAGGGTGTGATGTCACTTCCTGCGTCCCGCTCCCCTACCACAACCAGTCTGAACTCTTCTCTCTCAGTGAATGTCTCCATAACAGCGACAACAGATACCAACAACAAATTGAAAGCAGAATTCTTTTTTGTTGGGCTGCACCTTTACTTGGCCTCAGACTCTATCCAGTCCACTGTCTACAGACTGTCAATGTTAGCATATGGTTTCTTATTTATTGATAGCTGATTATTTAAAGTGTTCTACAGGCTGTTTTTTGACCTGCACCCTATTTTCTGTCATAATTCTGAAATGAAATAAGGTACTTCACTATAGTTACTTCAATCTCGCCACATTTATCGAATACAGACTCTTAAAATCAACCCCAGAGGCATTGAAAGGCATCTTCTTTGACACGTTGGCTCTGCAATGTCCGTGAAAAGATATTTTCCTTTCTTTTTGAGTTTTTGAAATAGAGTTGTGCCATTGCTTTCGCTCTTTATTTCAGCATTGATTAAGTTAATTAAGAATAATATCGTGTCTCATTGCAGCGAATGAAGAGAAAAGCTTTGACTACCTATTCGGAGTTGATTTTTAGTGTCCACGACTGTATTTGATAACTGTGGTGAGATGAACAGTGAAGTAGCTCAATAGTGAAACAATTTAGCAGATTTTTCTGAGGAAAACGACGGCTATCAAAGAAAGAAAGAAGAAGCAGGGGGAAGCTGGTTTTGTTCCCTGAATGTGGGCGGTGAAGGTGTCGGCTTGTGTTGATTCTAAAGGGAATGAAGACACCCGTTAATCTTTTCTTGCTGTTTACAGTTGCTATAATAGCAGATGTCTTCTCTTTCTTTCCCCTCGAAGAGAGAGTGCGATGCCTTCCTGATGATGAACTTTACTTTGCTTTTTCATCGAGGAGTCGTCTTCGGCGACAGATTTTTGTCTTGTTTTGATCAGAGACATTGTACATAGAGGATGTAATGTTCTATAATATGAACATTTTGTTTGTCTGTTTGTTGTCTTCACCGGTGAGTTGCTCACATATCTGTTTTTATTATTTAAATGCTTGTCTGAGCTTGAATCTCTGTTCTGTTTCGACAATAGAGATGGCCTTAAGTGTGAATGGACGGTCGACGAGGACGGAGGTTGAAAGTGAAATTTAAGATGTTGGTTTAGTTTTGCGTTGGTTTTTGAAGTCCCCGCCTCCCGACAAAGCCATATTTCTACAGCCACCGCTGGCACTAATGTCTGGAAGTTGGGAATTTGTTTTCCCACGCTTGCTCAGTTTCCTTATTCGGGTTTGTGATCGTGTTGCTGCAGCAAAAGTGAAATTTTAACCCGGTAAAGCCAAGTTGTTGTTGTTGTTTTTTGTGCCGAAATCAGCTGTTTTGTAGCCAAATGCATGTGCCGATGAAGAGACAAAAGAAAGACGTGAAGCGTTTAAGTTCCAAGAATGCAGACAGTTTATTTCCATTTAACGTATTTTCTGCTTAATAAACAAACTCGCGTTTTAACAAAGCATATGAGTAATGATGGAGATCAAGGGCCTGACATATTTTGGTAAAGTATGTCAAACTGACACATAAGTTCCCACATAAGAGTGATATGAGTAATCCTACGCAGTATAAACAGAGTATTTGTACCATTTGCAGGTTCTTTTCTTTGGTCCCAAAGTCGAAAAACAAATCAAACTTTAGTTCCTGCGACTAAACATGGAGGATTTGTCTGTGCTCTTTGCGTTGGTTCTTCTTCTCTGCTGTGCATATCGGTTAACGACATAAGTGTTTTCTAAGGTCGCAACTAACAATTATTTTCATTATTGATTATAAATGTCAGAAAATTGTGACAAGTGCCCGTCACAAGTCATCCTCGTCCGAGGTGATGTCTTCTGTCTGAACATCAGTCTAAAATCCAAAGATGTAGAGAGAAGCAACCAATCATCACGCAGCAGAAGCTGATCATGAAAATAGTGATTAAACCAAAAAACACAAATCTTAAGTCAAGGTCCACGTTCTTGCTTTTTTGCCTAAAGTTTTTGTTCTCTTCCTTAGTTATCAACTGGGAAGTCCACTTGACTGCTATGTGACTGAAAGCTCCGGAGAAGGTAGTAAGTTGGCCTTGAGTGAAGAGGTTTCTTTGTTAAAGTCTAGCAGGGATCATTCAAACTGAAACTCTGAGTCACTGACAGATTATCAGTATTATTAATCGGATACGTCCTTTGAATTGATTATCGTAAAGTTTCAGCTTCTCAAATGTGATTTACTCCGTTTTATATCTTTGTAAAAGAAACACGTTTGGTTTTCTATTAATCAAAACAAGAAGTTTGAAAACATCACCTTTGGTTCTGGGACATTTCTCACTATATTCAACCTTCTCTCGACTAACTCTTAACTAATGAATCAAGGAAGTGATCAATAGATTAATTTCTAATGAAAATAATCATTTGTTGCAGACCATCCGTCTCCCTTTATCTGTTCTTATATAATGGGACATTGTGAGGTCTCTCATTCGCAGGTGTTTTATTCCCACTTGGCCAAATGAACTGAATGAACGAGCTGAACGTCTCACAGATGTAATTATCCACTCCAGACCTACTGTCGGTGAATGTACAACCTTGGGAGAGCCTCTCGTGATTTATTGAAAGGGTTTTGTAATGATTTGCAATCACAAACTGCTATGACTATTTATTACCTTTCTTATGTACATTGTGGACAGAACGAAAGGGGGATAAAGTCAGTAAGTTCACTTTTGGGTTTTCTCAGTGTTCAATCCACAGAAACTAAAGGTATTAACAAAACATTTAATTCTTCAAATCTCAGCTCAATCAATGAAAGAAGGGCCACCATTCAGGGTATTTCTAAAGCTTTGTACACAAGATTTGTTAAACAAGTTTTTGTAAGGATGCCAAAAATATGACAAAAGGATTTAAAAACAATCTTTAAATTAGAAACATCAGTATTTTATATGGATGAGTTTGGGATGTGCCGTAGTAATTGAGAAATGGAGAACATCATGTTCCTGAACCTTTGCTGTGGTTCTATTACTGTGTTCAGTCAGTAGTTTTCCTGTTTTATTATCTCGAAGATCAAATACTGAAATTGAACTTTTCACAAGCAATTTTTAAATACAATTCTCTCTAGAACAGTCGAGAAGAAGTGAAGCTTTGTTCACACCGTCCCCCAAAATTCCCCTTTATGTAATCTGTTAATTTGTGACGGTATTTCTAGAATAACCGTATGATTATGATACTGTTCAGAAATTATGAATGAGTTTTACTCAAAATGAAATCCAGCTTTTAGGGCATAAAGAGCGATGTGATGGTGCACGGGGCAGGTTTCCAAAGAAGAATTACTCTACGGACGGAATGTCAAGAATCCATATTTATTATTAAAGTATCATTCAAAGTCCAGCAAGACTCAAAATATAAACAAGCTTGTTGTTGGCAGACCTGACAGACAGCTTTGTTTACTTCCTGAACCTGTTGGAAGGAGGTTTGAACTACATCTTATGTTTGGCACTTTGTAATCAAGTCATCATCGGGAGACGTCGTAGCGCTCATTTACAGAGAAGCAGAAGGCTCTGTTTAGTCTGTGAAGTCTTTATTTCCATCGTTGCATAAAGTCTGTTTCTGCTGTATTTAGCAACCAAAGCTAGTGTCTGCATGGTGCTGTCCTGAACCTTCTCGTCCCCTCTGAAGATATGAATGGACATTCTCGTGCTTTGTTGTCTAAACTCGAGCAGAGAACTGCTTTGGGTTACGACGTGAAACTAATTCAGTGTCTGCGATCGAGGCCGAGAGTTGAATTCAGAAGCAGACAAACAGGGTCGGACTGAAAAACAAAAAAAAGCACAAGAACTTTTCTGTGATGATTCGGTACTATTGGAGATCATTATTACGTTTTAGGTGGTGTAAGTTATGTTGTCCGATATGTTTTTTTTTGTTTTTTTTTCCAGTTCTTTGCCTGTGTCTTATTTTAAAAACATTGATGTAAAAAAAGATGGCGTTATTTGAATAAATAAGATCCGCTGTTTAACACTGCTGTGGTTTGATCACACACTCTGTGACTGATAATAGGACGCAGTGATGCCTGCTTCAAATCATTTGAGACTAGTACTTGTTCAGAAGGATTTTAGACTTTTACTTGATTCGTATTACTTGAGATAACTTCTACTTGACTGAAATGACTTGAGAATTGACTTGGACTCATCCTGTTGGATTTCAAACTTGATTTGGAGTTGGTTCAAGTGACTTTAGACTCGACTTTGACCTGTCCTGAAGGACCACAGAGTTGACCTTTACTCCTCTCGATGAACTTGAGACTTGGACTTGCCTTGGAGGACTTGTGACTTGTCTTGGAGGACTTGAAACAGCCGTAGGACTGGTCCCTATGGCTTGTTTTGGACTAGTTTGAGTGACTAGAGACTTGCCTTTTATCTGTTTCCAATGAGCCCAGGCTGGAATTGGACTTGTCCCAAAGATCCTTAGCCTTGAACTTGTTTCGAAAAACTGTAGACTTGTCTTGGACAAGTCTGGGAACATCTGCTGGAGGACTCGAGATTTTACTTGCATTCATCCTGATGGATTTGTCTCAAATCATTTTAAAGTCAACTTCAACCTGGTTTGAAGGAACCCAGACTTGACCCGGACTCCTCTTGATGAACTTGAGACTTCGACTTGTCTCTGAGGACTCGTGCCTTGTCTTGGAGGACGCATCTGGGAGGACTTGAGTTTGGTGATTTGGACTGGACCTAATGGCTCGATCTGGACTAGTTTGAATGACTTGGACTCGTCCCAAAGAACTTTAGACTTGCACTTGTTTCGAAGGACTCGTGCCTTGTCTTGGACGCATCTGGGAGGACTCGAGATTTGACATGCACTTGTCTTGACGGTCTTGACTTTGACTTGTTGAATGACATAAAATTTGACTTGGACTTGACTTAAATAACTTGAGACTTTGATTGGACTTGTTTGAATGACTTTACATTTGTCTCATTTATTCATCTTTTTCAAGAAAAGACTGAAGCCTTGAAGACGGCTCTGACCGTTACAGAACAGGCGTACTAATGGCACCCATCCCTCAGATCCCACCCCCCTTTGCATGGTGACTTGAACATGATCCTTTTGCTGGCTCCCCAGCTGCAAAGACAACATGACAGATGTCACATCTTCATGTGAAAAAGAAACATTGACTGATTAATAGTATTTCTGTGTGCCCACACATGCATGACATGGAGAGACGGGCTGCACAAGCAGGTCCGTGTTAATGAATCTCTGGGTAGGCCGTTTACACAACTGGTCTGACGTCTGGAAAAAAAACGTCTGTCTGTGGACCTTTGCTCCTGCTGGTCCCTTTTTAAAATCCAAAGGACGGACATGTGGTCACTCTGCAGCAGCAGACTCTGCATTTACACTGTCAAGACTGTAGATGCTGAGACACTGTGATTGAAATTAGAGTTGTTTTGTCAGTTGTTTTTTTTTAGAGAGAGACAAAAAAAAAAAAACACCTTTGCAGCCATGACCTCTTTTGACGACATCTTGGAAGAAGCTGGGCAGTTCGGCCGCTGTCAGAAGCGTATCTTCGCCCTGCTGTGCATGGTGTCCATGCCCTGGGCCGGTGTGTACGTCGGCATCGTCTTCCAGGGTTTCACCCCGGATCACTGGTGTCGGGACCCCGCGGTGGCAGAGAGGAGGCATGCGTGCGGCTGGAGCCTGGCGGAGAGTCGCAGGCTGACGGTGCCTCTGGTCAACAGCTCCGGGGTGCTGCAGCAGAGCAGCTGTGAGCAGTACGAGGTGGACTGGAACGCCACATCGCTCGCCTGCGATACACAGGAACTGGACCTCAGCAAAACTCCCACAGGTGCCTGCAAAGGTGGCTGGGAGTACGACTATGAGGGCAGGAACTCCTTTGTTACAGAGGTAAGTAAGCAAATAAAGTACAATCTAAACAATTTTGGCCTTTATTATCAAAAAACAAGGACATCCCTGTAAAAATGTGTGAAGTTTTTGCTACTTTACAGGAATAGTCAGACAATAGGCTTATTTGCTTTATTTGCGAGAGGAAAATTACGAGAACAAAAAAAAAAAAAAGTCAAACATGCACACAATCTTTAGTTTACCCACATTTAAGAAAGTTTAAAGGAAATATAAAAAGAGATAAATAAATGTTGTGATTGACCTTGTCTGTCTGTGTGTTGTCCCAGTTTGACCTGGTGTGCTCTGACGGATGGTTGGTGGACATGTACCAGGCCACTCTCAACGTGGGCTTCCTGATTGGGAGCATCGCAACTGGCTACCTGGCCGACAGGTAAGGCTGCGATTGGTTTGATAAAGATGTGACGACCAGGTCAGTCAAACACATTGTAACACGTGTGTGTCCGTCCTCTGTCTCCCAGGTTTCATTTTAATGGAGTAAATGAGAAAAAGTTGAGACAGGAGATGCTGCATTTATTTGACTATTGCACGGTGCCACTGAAGCATTGCTGCTACAAGATTTAGATCTTTTTAAACTGATGCCCGTTTGTGTGTCTGCCTTCAGGTTTGGCAGGAAAATCAGTTTCCTGATGTCCAACCTGTTCAACGGTATCGCAGGAATCCTGGTGGCCGTGGCTCCAAACTATGTGGCTTTGCTGGTTTTCAGAACGCTCTACGGGTTCGGAGTGAAAGGGGGCTGGGTGGTCGGATACGTGCTGAGTAAGAGCGACATTTAACCTCACAGCTGGGATTTACAGTTCAACAAGGTTCAAGAAACTGCAAAACACATCTGTAGCGTTACTCGATATGTGACACCGTTTTCCGTCTCAGTCACAGAGATCGTGGGGGTAGAGCACAGACGCACAGTGGGAGTCCTTTACCAGATGTTCTTCAGTGTCGGCATCCTCCTCCTCCCTCTGCTGGCCTACTTCATCACCGACTGGCGCTGGCTGCAGGTCGTCATCACTGTCCCTTACATCTTCTTCCTGTCCTACTACTGGTGAGAAACCCTGTCTGTGCTTTTATTTTCTGCTTGAAACAGGAAGTGAAGTCTTGAACCCCCTTTTATGTTCAGAGAAGATTTTGAAGAGGGAAAACAAACACAGCCAGAAATCTTATTTTGTGATTTACGAACTCACATTGGATTAATCCGCCTTGATTTTAAAAACCAGAAATTCCATTGGAAGATCAAATAAGTTGTCATTCCTTCATGAAAGTGTTTGTATTTGCAGGTTCATCCCAGAATCTCCAAGATGGCTTCTCTCTCAGAAGAAAAAGTCCAAAGCTATTGAGATCACTAAGGCCATGGCCAAAGAGAACAAGAGGACCCTGTCCAAGAACATCGAGGTAGCTGCTGGTTTAGCAAAGACAAAACGCATCATAAGACACAAGATCAGACCGTGTCCACGTCACTAGAGCAGTTACAGAAAGTCTGAATGCATGAATCTGTTCAAATCTAAATGTTTCTGCTGCTATAAATGCAATAACTGTATTCCATGCTTTAACACTCCTTATTTTAACTATTTATTACAATTTTCTTTTCTCCCCACTTTATTTACGATTTCTTGTTGTATGCCTCAATGTACACATGAGGTGCTCATTATGTTTACAGGTTGTATTTTTTATTTTTTTTGGTTCTATTTTTATTTGCTCATCTAATCTATGCATGTTTTTGCACTTGCCGCTGTTGGTTGTAATTTGCACCCTCACCTCTAGATGCCGCCAGATCCTACAAACTAGACCTTTAAGTACCTGAAAATCTGCAATTGCAAATTAACAGCTATTTTACGCACAGTTGCTATTTTACGCACAGTTGCAACTCTGACGGCCCGCGGGTCGTCAGAGTGATAACTGCATATTTGTGTTATGCACACAACTGCCCTGTAACATGAGTATTAATGTGATATCATTAGAAAGCTACGGTTCTTGTAATTCGATTTCTGCAAACCATTTCAAGATACAATAACAGCAGGTACAGTTAACGTCTCTGTCAAACAAGCACTCCTAAAATAGCCGATAAAATATCGCCGTGACTCACCGATTATGATCCATAACGTCCCCCTCGTGCATGCTAGTCCAACAAAAACGGTCTTGCTAGGTGGCTAAGGGTCCACTCGATCGAATCCAGTAAAAGTTTTAGTCCAAAACACATTAGTACGTCCATAAAGACCCACGGGGGGCTGTTGCATCATTTCAAATTAGCCAGCAGATATGATAACTCGCGATCATATTTCGGGCATAACTTCACGTTCCGTGTCAACAGAGCGAGATTTTCATCGCAAAATGGAGGCTGCATTCCGCCGGTTAGATTGACACCTCATTTGACCCAATAGGAGCTTCTATAGCCCGGCCACAGTCTGGAACAGCCAACGAGAGTCCGCTTTGAAAGACAATGCCCGCCTCTCTTCTTTGGGTAAAGCTCGAGCCAATCGCAACAGATCCTGTTCAAACTCAGGCTCCACATAGACAATGAAATTACGAAGCCAGGGATATAGTTAGTAAACCACGTGTCAAATATTAATTTTCTGTCGTGTTGTTATCAAATTTTAACTTATACTAGGCGTCATGACTGTTGGCTGTCGAATGAGAGTCTTTTCAAGCCTGTAAGTCCCAGCCATAGATAGCTGCTGCCATCTGTTGGCCAAAACAAATCTAGGCGGAAGTAAAATGCTTCTCTTTCACTGTGCTGAAAACGCATTAGCTCAATGCTAATAGCACTTACGATGATTCTGACTGATTGTGAAGAAACTTCAGAGTGTTGCCGTTCAATAAAGACTAAAACCATACATGTACTCCCAATGGTTCAATAAGAGCTGTCAGTTTACTTTGGGTACGCGGTTGATAGGCGTTTTAGGCAAATTTTCCTTCTATTCTGCATTGCAGAATACAGATGTGAGTTCTGGAGCATTTCATATGTAATTTTAAAAAAGTTGAAAGAGGAAAACGGTAAAATAGTATAATATCCTAAAATAACTAGTAAAATATCTGACAAAATCAGCAAAATATCAAAAGAAAATTCTGTGAAAAATCTGTAAAATATCAGAAAATCGTCAGTGAAATATCTGAAAGAAACATTAATAACTTATCTGAAAATAATTAGTAGAATATCTGGAAATCTGTGAAAAGCAACTGCAATTTTACAGTTCTTCCTCGTAGAGTCTAAGCATTACAGATTGTAAAGTGTTTAAAATGTCATATTACTGTAATAAGAGGAAAACAGTTGATCTTTCATATTAGCAGCATAAATAATTCATAATGTAATATTGATCCTGCAGAATCTGACAGATGATAACTTGGACTCCTGCGCTGCCTCCTTCATGGACCTGATCAGAACTCCAAAAATGAGAAAACACACTTTTATTCTCAGCTACAACTGGTAAGTATTTGTTTTAGTTTTTCAAACATGGGTCTTTGTAATGCTTAAATTAAAACCTAAATTAAACGGACTGGTCGTCTAGAATAACATTGATTAGGAACTTTAATTAATTCTTCCACTCTCTGTACGATTCTTCCCCTCTGTCTCCTCCAGGTTCACCAGCGCTGTGGTCTACCAGGGCTTGATCATGAGGCTGGGCATTCTGGGAGGAAACGTCTACATCGACTTCCTCATCTCTGGCCTGGTGGAGTTCCCTGCTGCCTTCCTCATCCTCTTCACCATCGAACGCATCGGCAGGCGCATTCCCTTCGCCTCCGCCAACATCGTAGCCGGAGCCGCCTGCTTTATCACCGCCTTAATCCCTGACAGTGAGTCTTTGGGCGACAGGTGGAGCTGAGGAACAAGATGTTCAGGTGTCACCAGATTTACGTTCCTCTCTGTCCTTACAGGCATGTTCTGGTTCAAGACGGTGGTGGCCTGCATCGGTCGGCTGGGCATCACCATGGCCTTTGAGATGGTGGTGTTTGTTAACACCGAGCTCTACCCGACGTTTGTCAGGTAAAATCTACACACTGTACACGCTCTCTTTGCAATTTTCAAAATGTCATCTAGGTCTTGTTTCTGCCAAGGTTGAACACACTTATTGTGAGTTACTTTGGATTAAAATGCCAAATAAATATCTAAAAAGGCCTCGTTTTGACAACCACAACCAGCCCACTCTGGTCGATCCAGCAGCTACATTCAAGCAATCACTGCTCAGATTTATGTCGACAAATATGCAATTTTGTTGTTCTTTTTGTTTTCTCTGTTTAGCCATGGTGGCTTTTACTGCTCATGCCAACAGTTAACAGTGTTTAGCTTTAGCTAGTGAATACCCCACTTGTGAATTTTAAGCTTTTAAGAGTCAAAAAAAAAAAAAAGGTGGTTGCCAACAAGTGGGTAAATGAGACTACTCAACGTCATCACGCTGAACTTTAGTTCGCCTTTAGCGTAGTGGTGGTGACATGAAGTCATGTGGCCGTGGTGTAGTTTGTTTGTAGCCTACTTTTCTTGCTTTTTACCTCTGGCGATTGCATTCACGCTTCAAAAGTCATACAAATTAGCTGAACAAAATGTGTAACTATCCAATGGAAGAATCCCATTGCCTTTTGGTCGAGGGAACCAGTGCGACGCTAACTTTCAGGTTGGCCTAGAAAAATGTAGGACACCCCTGCTACAATACTATACTAATTTTTCAACCATCCAGGAGTTTTTTTTATTGTGTGTAATAACCTTTACAGCCTCATGGGGCTGCTTAGCAAGCGACTTTTAGCTTGTTCGACAAAACAGCCAAAAGGAAAAATGCATCTCTTGAGTGTCAGAAGAGCCACCGGACAACATGTTTAGGAAAGTAAATATTAGCTGGTTGTTCTTTTGTCCGTAGGAATCTCGGCGTGTCGGTTTGTTCCACTCTGTGTGACATTGGAGGCATCGTAGCTCCCTTCTTGCTCTACAGGCTGGCGGTCATCTGGCTGGAGCTGCCACTCATCATCTTTGGTGGGTTTGATATTATTATGGAGCGAGAACATTTCATAGATATCTTTCCAAAGTCTGTCCCAAAGATGGCTGCAATAGATGAAGATGTTCTCTAAATGCTGGTATTTTATACCTAATGCATTCAGGTATCTCATCACTTTTATAAAACTTTCTGATACGGTCGGTCTGACCGACTGATATCGGTATTTTCTAAAAGCTGATGTGTTGTTCAGGGTCTTTGGCTTTCGTGGCCGGTGGGTTGGTGCTGCTGCTTCCTGAGACCAGAGGTGTGCCGCTGCCCGAAACCATCGATGACATCGAGTTACCAGAAAAGTGAGTATGCACTGCTGAAATAATGAGGTTCTTTAATTATTTTCATTATCTTTTAACCTTCCAGATTATTCTCTTCATTAATCATTTTGTCGATGCCGTAAAATGTCATAAAATAGTGAGAAATTCTTGTTGGAATTTCCCACAGCCCAAGGTGACTTCTGCTAATGTCTTGTTCTGTCTGAGCAACAGTCCAGCGAAGATGTTTATTTATTAATGACTGAAAAAACATAATTTTTTTTCAACTTTTGCTCGATGAATCCATCACCAAAATAGTTGCCAATAAATTTTCTGTTGACCAATTAATCGTTGCATCTCTGTACATCATGTCATTGTGTGTGTGTGTGTGTGTGTGTGTGTGTGTGTGTGTGTGTGTGTGTGTGTGTGTTCAGAGTGAAGGAGAAGGCTGGACTGAAGAAACAGCAGTTGGCCAACTTGCTGCCCAACGACGACGTGTCAACCAACAAAGAACCAGCAACTGTTTAATCTGCTCCTTTGACCAAAGTATTTATTTATGCTGAGTTCATTCCTATGAAAGTTACCGAGTGGCACATGAAGGCAAAAAAACTTTGACTTCCAGGGTAGTCAATTTCCTGCAACCACGGTCCCGTAGAGCAAGCGCACTAGTGTTCCCTTTAACCCCGCCTCCCAGCTCTTGGTCTAGCCTTGTTTTCGGGCTCATTTGCATTAACAGAGGGAGGAAAATAACTCTTGATTCAGCTATTTGTGCATTTTACAACTCTTGGGAGCCAATGAATAAGGGCTATTCAAGTGTTAATACTGGGAAGTTGATTTACCACAAAAAAGTCTACGGGAAAATGTTTTTTTGGGCCCAGTGACATCAAGTTGTAATTTCATGGTTTGTCCACGACGTCAACGGTGCTTTTAAGCCAGGCGCTCTTTTTGTGGGACTTGGCGCGGTCAGTAACATTGTGATTGATACAGGCATGTAATGCAGAGAAGATGGTTTTTTTAAAACAACTGCACATGTAAACAAATACAAATTGTCAGTAAGAAACGGCACATTTAAACTGTGTGTGTGTGTGTGTGTGTGTGTGTGTGTGTGTGTGTGTGTGTGT